AATTGTCTAAATTGTCGTGGCCCATATACAAAGAAAAAGTTGAGCAAAGCGTTGCACATTTTAATTTACTGTACATAGATTATTTGAAAAGTATGTGCCTAAACGCATGTGTGTTCCTGAAGAACAATACTAAAGAACTGAGAAACTTGAAAAACAGAAAGTCACGTTATTTTAGATTACACAAAAAAAACCGCCTTACACTCATACTATGTAAAATACTCACTTTTGCGTCACAAGTTCTTTGAATTAAACAAAAAGTGTTATAAAGATTACTTGTGTAAAATCGAACGACGTATAATATATAACCCCAAATCATTTTATGATTTCGTAAACTCCAAGCGAAATGTACGTGGGTTTCCTTCCGCCATGAAGTATCAAAATACCGGCTCTGGTGATAATCAAACAATTTCTAACATGTTCGCTCAGTTTTTTAAATCCAATTATTCCACTAACTCCCAAGCATACTTTGACTATCCTTTTAAACTAAGTCCAATTAACTCAATACATAACCCTATAATATCTCCCGATGATGTTTTAGTTTACCTGAAGTCCGTAAAGCAGTCTCATAGTTATGGTCCTGACCAGATCCCCACTTGTTTTCTTAGAAATTGTGCTGGTTATCTCTATGAGCCGTTAACAGCCTTATTTAATTTGTCTCTTAAAGAGGGCGTTTTTCCAACTGTATGGAAGGAATCGTTCATAACCCCCTTACATAAAAGCGGTAGCAGGTCTTCAGTGGAGAACTACCGGGGCATAGCTAAGTTCGGTATTGTCACTTGCGAAGCGAATGAATTTGGCGAAGCGAACGGTTTGGCGAAGCGAATGGATTGGCGGACGCAACTTAAATATGCATTAAGAGTGTTCGCTTTTACCAGCTTGTGAGAGTTCTTCGCATCGCGCACACTTTTAATACCTTCTCTGCCTTTTAATTCACTTCGCTAAACCGTTCGCTTCGCCATAATCATTCGCTTCGCAAGTGATAATACCACCCTAAGCTTTCTGCAATTCCTAAATTATTTGAAGCAATTATAACAAATCGGTTGACGCATTCTATCACTTCAAGCATTTCATACAGTCAACATGGATTTTGCAAGGGCAAATCAACTTCTACAAATTTACTTGAATTAACATCCTATATCTCAAAAGCATTTAGTGAGAGCAAAACTGTTGATGTTATATATACTGATTTCAGTAAAGCATTTGACAAAGTGTGCCACTCGTTGTTCATCTATAAACTTGATCTTCTTGGTCTTCCACCTAATTTTCTACGTTGGATCTCTTCATACCTCTATGATAGATCACAAAGGGTATTGTTTAAAAATACTATCTCTGACGTCATTGAAGTTACTTCAGGAGTCCCTCAGGGTAGCCACCTAGGCCCGATTCTGTTCTTGCTTTTTATAAACGATATTTCTACAGATATAAAATTCTCCAAAATTTTAATGTATGCAGATGATGTAAAACTTTATAAATCGTACGTTTCAATTAAAGAAAGGTCTTTGCTACAATCAGACTTAAACAGCATAGCATGGCTTACTGGTGTAAAGTAAATCTTATGCCTCTAAATCTTAAGAAATGTAAATTAATGTGCTTCTCGCGAAGAGCTGTTCTGCCAGTTTCTTATATAATAGGTAACCATAACCTGGAACAGGTATACAATTTTGTGGACCTTGGTATCACAATGGATCCTAAGCTTAATTTTAATCTTCACATTAATGTGACAGTCAACAAGGCTAAAGGTGTACTTGCATTTGTGAACGATGGTCAAAAGAATTTAGTGACCCTTACACCACTAAAACCCTGTTTACAACATTAGTTAGGCCGATTCTGGAATACGGCTCGGTGGTTTGGAATCCAAGGTATCAAATTTACTCAGACAAGATAGAATCAATTCAAAAACAATTCCTACTTTTTGCTTTAAGAAATTTCCGATGGGATTCTCAATATAGTCTTCCACCTTATACGAGTCGCTTAAAACTTATTAACCTTCCTACACTTGCCAGTTGCAGGGAAATGCTTGGTATAATTTTTATGGTTAAATTACTGACAGGCTCAATTTCAAGTCCGTCTCTTCTGGCTGATGTAAGCTTTAATGTTCCCTCACGCGTATCAAGACACTTTTGTCCCATATTTCTGAAAGCTTGTAAAACCAATTTTGAATTGCACGACCCACTC